ACAACGTGGTGCGATCATCCCCCTTGCGCGGAGTGAGGGTTCTCCACCCCGCACAACATGATCTACTCGACCACCAGTATGGTTACCGCCAAAAAAACAAACGGAAAAAAAAAAAAACGGTAACCTGGTTGCCGAGTTCACGAAGTGAATTGGCTTGTTTTACAACGTCGTTGCCAAGCGACGAGAACCCAACCCCGATGGCAATCACCGGGGGGGGGCGTGGGGGCGGGTGGTTTGGGATTTTTTTCGACGGGGGCGTTTCTTTCTGCCCAAAATACGCTACGCGTATTTTCATATTGTATCCTTGACTTTGCGTGCGTGCGCATGCCGCCGGCTTCTTTCCTTGATTGAGTTCCGGCTCTATCTCGGGATCGTTCTTTCTCCCCCGCAAATCGGAGAACTGCGGACATGAGATCAGTAGAGTTTGGGCGTTACAGAGACAGAAAGACATTTTCGACGTGCCGAAAAGTTCCTCCTGGTCAACATCGGGGCCGCTGAGTGCTGGTTGGCCGAAAATCCAGCAGATGGTTTCAATCGTCGTGCTCGTGTTGGCTTGCGGTGCTTGGACGCCATTTTTCCGCCCTCACAACAGGTATAAGCACAAGCAGAAGAGCGCCATCCATTCTCCGTCGTTGCCGCACGGGGAAAACGACGTTGGCGTCGGCTGTCACTTCGCGTACAGCAGCGGTATGTTCATTCCTGCCCTGCTGCCGTTCGTTGCGTGTCTTAGAAGAAATAATCAAGGCCCTCTGATCTGTAGTTTTAAGTAGTATAGGTCATGGCGGCCAGAGGTCTGCTTTTCGCATCTGTTGCCCGCATCGGGCATCGGACCGCGCGTGCGATGTGCGCGATAGGAGGCCCCAGAGCACCACCGAGAAAAACAGCGCGACGGAGAGAACCGGACGGGGGTGGGCCGCCCATCCCCGGGATCCCTGAGCCGATAATGTTGCACTACCGGCCCCATGTCACTCTGGTTTTCGAATGATGTTTGAATGGTTTCCGCCCCCGTCCCGACGGAGTGGGCTGAAGACCCTCCTCGTGGAAGTGGACGAAAATTCGTCGTTCGTTGCAATCTCGAGAATATCGACGGAAGAACATCAACTCGCTTTTAGAGAAGAAATCGAAGACTGCCAACTCAAACACCAAGCGAAAAAACGGAAACGCGGCCTTACTGGGGTTAAAATTCTGGAGTATGGAAGCTGAGGTCAAACTCGAATATTTGGTATGAGAATTTGACACGACAATTTGGGATTCAACAAAGCGAGCAGCTCCTGTTCTCGTTCCCTGCTCTCTCAAGACCCCCCAAAAAAGCACGTAACATCCCGCGCTGTCTCATTTACGACGGCATGAAGCTATCGTTGCAAAGCGTGTACATCGTTTCTGGTCGGCAAGTCGTAATAACAGACCTTGGTTGACAGGCCCCCCCCCCCCTCGGTTTTCACTCGTAAATGTACTCACCATGACCAACTACATAGGTGGGCGGTCTCGTGATCGCTGAGTCGACGATTTACTACGACGGGTTCGAGCCGTGCGGCGACTCTGACGAAGGGATCAGCCAAATCGCATTAGGACTGCTTGTCGCCGCGTGCGTCATTGTCCTCGCTGTCGGGCTTGGCTGCTTCTACCGCAGCCGCAAGAACAAACAGAAGACGAAGGCGGCCATGGAGTCTGACCTTGGTGGTTTCGGCGCTACCAAGCCCGTCGCCACGTTGTAGCGCTTTAATCCAAGCGCGCAGACCTTACGAGGATAATCGAGCCACGCGCATGGTGTCGCCATTTTGAGGGGAAGAATCATCACAACTGAAAATGTCCACGTCTTGATTGTCGGCCACCCACCTGTTTTGTTTCCCGTTGCTTTCTTTTCATGTCAAACTCGGGAAGAACATTTATTTTTGAGTGGTGTAGATAGGAATTCCCAATGGCTTTCCTTTTTACATGGTGTTCAAACGTTTTTTTTTCTGATTGGAGCGTTATTCTTTCATGACCTTCACTCCTTCTTTCGTTCTTGACTTTTTTGCTTTTCAGTAACACTTCCTGTTCTGTGCATTATTGCGTCAATTCGACGAAGATATTTTAGATAACCCACCTCTCGATTCTGTGCGTTCGGTGTATGTACGACGTTCCAGGAACATCATGTTTGGTTGTGTAGATACGTTGAGGGTTTACCTTTCGTTTTGTATCATGAATACAACGGGTTGACCGGAGGGCGCTCACTGCTCCTCTTCGTTGTTGCAGTTGTCACAGCATCGGCAGATCCAAAGGCCAATGCCTCCGTTTGTGCTGCAAGTCTGCGTTGGGCTCAGAAAGGGCGAGTACGGGGATAACAATGATTCCTCTCCCCCAGCTGCAGCATCAAAGTGCTGAATAAGGTTTGCTTTCTTTCTCTGCGTTGAATCTGTTTGGCTGCTCAAGAAAGCCCCATAGGCTTCAACTTCTGTCGGCCAAAATGCCGCGAGAAATTTGACCAACTATTGTCTACCAGAACAACCGCCGCCCACGAAGAAAACAAAAGAGGCCGGAAGCGCGCCATCGACGCACTCTCTGCTACCTCTTGTCTACCCTGGACGTACCTTGCTGCACGAGATTCCCATGCACGAGTACACGCTCTACAGCTGCTCCTTGAGGAACACGTACCCCTCCGACATGGGCGCGTCGGCGCTCGCGATGTCGGTGTTGGCCCTCACGAGCTTAGCGACCTCCTCGTTGCACGCGTTGATGCGGGGAAGCATGGCCGCCGAGAAAGCCCACAGCTCCGCCGCCTCTTTGTCGCCTCCGTTGCCTGCGGCGGGGTCGGCGTTGTAGAAGTACCTGGGGACGCGTGGAGGAGAACATGGAGAGGAGGGGGGTGAGGGATCCAACCAAATTGGTTGCTTGTTACACTACGTTGACTGCACATCTCTTTGGAAAGGTCAGCGGAAAAAAGCTTGAGTCCCTCAACCTCACACAGACACCCCCAACCTTGCCCGATCGTTCGTGGCGATTCACCTCGGAAAGGCTGCACCAGGCACGAGTGAGACATGCCACAACTCCCTACAAACCACGTGCGACGGTTTGTACATACCTCAGCATGCCTTGAACGAGGGGCACGCCCATGAGGTCGATGATCTTGTCCTTCACGTCCTCCGCCGCACATCAGTCCCCGTCGAGCAGGTAGACCTGGCCCTCCTTGTACAGCTCGAGCATGTCGGAGTTGATCTGAGCGGTGCCGGTGATGTGGCTGCCGTCGTCGTCGGCGGTGCACGTCGCGAAGTTTTCGCACCTACCAGGGTGAGAGAGGCGCCGTGGGGAACACCGACAGACACCAGCAGCAGCAGGACAATATAGGAAAAGAGTTAAACACTGCAAAGGAGAGTACGCTACTCCAAGGAACATCATAATGCGTGAGGCGTTAGCGTGCTTGTGGCGCGATCGGACTGCGCGGCGTAGGGAAGGGGGGGTTACCGTGATTTTTGAAATACGTAGTCACTGCCCGCCGTTCGAGTGGATACGCGAACTACTGCAAAATTTCGTCTCGATTCTCCACCGCCTCTATCTTTCTCGAGAGCTCGAACGCAGCAGCTTGCTAGCCCTCAACAGCCTAGCTCCAGTTTAAACTCGGCCGAGGAACGTAGCCACCGCTGAGCTCAGAGTAACGCTAGCACACACACACATACACAACGAGTCTTGTGTGTTTTACATTCTTGTACCGTTTGCCTGTCTTGCGTGGCCTACTTCACGTCAGCACGGGAAAGCGAGCACGGACGGAAACCGTTTGACCCTACTTGTACAACACAAAATTTTCACGCTACGGCTTTCGTAACAACCGCAAATCGCACGCACGCGCCGCCAACACGGCTGACCTCTTCTCAGCCAGAGCGTACAGCATCATGCCGTCGCCGGTCCTCTCGGTGCCTTCCAAAGAGCCGGCGTAGAACGCCTATCCTTCGTCCCAGGCGTGGGCCCCCCCGTCGTTGCCGTTAAGGTCTGCGGGAGAAGTATTGAAAGTAGACACGTAGACACGTAGATATGTGTGTTAGGTTAGCACAAATAGTCGTCGGCAGCCGGCATTGCCGAGTGCAGGGGAGAAGCGGTTGGAGTGCGCTGGAGATCAAGGAGGGATCGATCTACAGAGTAGGTGGCACACACACCCGCGGCGAACGCCGCCGTGCTGAGAGGCTAACGATTTTCAGGCAGGTGCTCCTGTAATGATACGCACGTTCGTTCTGGCATGCCGCACGCGGACGGAAAGAAAAATCGAAGCCTCGACATCTCAAGTGGTACGCTTCCGTTTTATGAGGCGGACGGCCTCAGAGAAGTTGTTGTTGCTGTTTTTGTTGTTGTTGTTGTTGTTGTTGTTGTTGTTGTTGTTGTTGTTGTTGTTGTTGTTGTTGTTGTTGTTGTTGTTGTTGTTGTTGTCGTTGTCTACAAAACCGTTTCGATGTCTCAATCCAGTACTGCCATTCGTTCGTACTGGCCCGTGAAAACAGCGTATTTGTAGACTCACTGTGCCCCCTTGACGCGTCCCTCCGCCCTCTCACCCGAAAGCTTCTCCTGGGCGCACGTGGAGAAGCCCTGAATGGTGCGGATAGAGTCCATCTTCTCGCTGGTATTTTCGTTGTTGGACGAGCACGAATACACAAGTCTAATATGAGGTAGCGGGGTGATGGGTAATTAAGCATTGCCGTCTTTTGCTCCAAATTTCCACAACTGACTGCCACGGCTTTTACAGGCATGTAGTGCATTCACTGCTGTTGTGATTCGCTAGTTAGGTAGTGAACCATCGGTGGCATCGATTTGCCTTGGCGATGTCAGACTACTGCTGTCTACGGCGGGAACATTTCCATCCCTCGTTTTGCCTGGTTTACTGCGTTCAGTTTGTGTCGAAGTGTTGGGGTCCTTTGCTTTCAATTTAATCATCCGCGGCGCGTACCCCGCAGCAGTACGCTGTAGTAGTCGACATTCATTTTGGTTAAATGCGGGACAAGGGGGGTGATGCTGCTGCTGTAGTCGACTTGTAGTGTGTGGGCGTGTAGTTCAGTTGTGAGCACGCAAACGTGCTGCAGGGATTGCAGGTGTACCTCCTCGGGCTTGTGCACCCTTTTCTTGCTAATAGTGTGTGTTATTTAGATCTTCTGATGGCTCTAGCATTTTTGTGGCCACGGACCGAGTCGTTGCTAGATTTTGGGATTAGCAACTGACACGAATGTAATGTGAAGAAAAACAAGAACAACCCTTTTCGGGGGTAAGTGGCCTGTAGTCACGCACGGATGGATGTCAGTACGTGTTGAGCAGGAGACCGGAGCGGATTTGATATGATTACACCAAACACCAAAAAAACAGTAGTTCGTCTTCACGACGGTCTACCGATATAGACCGTCTGCTGCAGTATGCGTCGTCGAACACTACTGTAGATAGAACTGCACAACAAATGGGACCGCAACAACATTTTTTTCTAGCGTGTGCCCTTTTCGGGGTTTTTGGTCGGTGACCACGGAAGGCGTGCGCAGGTGCTCGTCAGTTGACACGTCCGGATGTCAAAAACGCGCTGAGCAGAGACCGGAGCGGGTTTGGTACGACGACAACACGAAACACCGCTAACCAAAAGAATATGATTGTCTTCACGACTGTCTGATGTGTCTAACGTATACCATGCGTCGTCGTATGTTCAATGAAACTGCACAAAAACCCAAACAACATTTTCGTATTTACGACGATCTAACGTGTCTAACGTATGCTATGCGTCGTCGTGTGTTCGATGAAACTGAACAAGACTCGAACCGCAGGAAACAACGGGGTCATGGTATGCACAGTCAATAGTAGAGGTTCAATCAAGCAACGGACAAAGAGAGGCAGCAAGCATGTAAATGTGCGCGATGCGAAGGGGGCAGAGGAGAGCAAGCAAGGATAGATGGATGCGTTTAGTGGTAATCCACTTGAAGTTTGGAGGCATCGAAAAACTTGTGAAATCCTGATACTACGCTGCCATTGTAATGTCAGTAACGGTTGCTTTTCTGTTTTGGGCGGTTAGTGGCATCAAATACTCGCATGGCGAGCTTGATTGCTCGGCTCCACTGATTGCGTACAGAGGTCGCAATACAGGACTCCAATACTGTAGACTACGGGCGGGAATATTGGCATGTGCATCGTGTGCGAACGAAGTGTGAATACTTACTGCTGTAATTGATACACAGCAGTTGAGCCGCCATCAATCTCATACGGGGTGCATACATATAATCCATCATATTTTCTGCACACATGCACACGTGATCGATCTTACCTGTTTCCGCCGAAGGCATACGACGTGTACGCAGCGGCGAAGCCAGCATCGGTTTGGAGGTTCGCGTTCTCCTCGACCTCCTGCATGTCGAGATCGAGTTGGGAGTGTTCCACGACGTCAGAGACGGGCGTGTACCCCGCCATGTCATCGTACGAGGCAACCGCCACCCTTTTTGCAGCAGCCAGCACGAGGAGCGCGCATTGGCGTTGAAACGAAAATGGTGACATGTTTTGGGCTCGCTATATCTTGGGAGCAGCACCTCGACAACAGCAGCAGCAGTAGACTCTGTGTACGGCTGAGCTCAAGTGAACAGTGTTGGTGTGGTGGTGTGGGCGCGGGGTGAGTGTGTATGGTGCTGGGTATGGGGAGAGAGTCAGTGATGAGGGGCACTGACGTGGAAACGGCTTGGTACTTCTTCTGGCGTGTGCCCAGCAATATGCCAAAGATCGAGGCACGCGCCATTCTTTGTGTGTGTATCCATTGCTATAACCGGCTGCCAATGAAAAAACGTCAGTCTCAGCGGTTGATTGTGTGTGCTTTTATTATTAGCATCGACCGCGCTAACCGGCTGACCACTGAAAAGACGTCAGTCCCAGTGCGGTTGAAAACACAAAACACGCTATGACGCTATGATTCCATTGTTAATCTGTCTATGACTCTTTTCTATGATAGAGATGGACTCGTTGTGTCATACTAGGAAAAAAAAAAACACTTCTATCTACCGTGAACTGGGACCCCGTGAGGGGGCACATGGTGTGTGGGCGTACAACATGAGAAGTCAACCAAAATTGCAGCAAGCACTTGCGGTTGCATCTAGCTACATCTAGACTGTCTGCCCAGCATCATTTATCCTGTAACCACCGGGATGGTACGTGAATATGGGGCGAAAGCAAAATGCAAAGGTAATCGACAAACGCAGGCGCCGTCGTGCATGTAGTCTAGACTGTGTGCACCATGCATGGATTTCTATTTTACAGGTACGAATAGTCTAGATCCGATCGATATTCAAGCCGCCGCGTTCTGTAGTGCACTGCTGTGTCCGCACGCACCACCAGGATCGGCAGCAAAAAAGGTCCATGTTGGTATGCCACCATAAAACCAAGAGTTGTTAGGACTTGAGAGAGGCTGGTTGAGGCAACCTGTGACTGAGAAGGTAGAGAACATGGCAACACACCCGCGTCGCACCTGTGGGGGAAGCACTCTGCATGTATGTGTTTCTATTATTAGCATCGACCGCGCNGACCAATGAAAAGACGTCAGTCTTAGTGCGGTTGAAAACACAAAACACTTCTATCTACCATGAACTGGGACCCCGTGAGGGGGCAGCATGGGGGAGGCTAAACTATCCTTCGGATTAAAAACAGAAACAGCAGCAACAGACGAAAAATGCACGCGTCTACCAAGGCTATTACCTAGTACTCGAGTTCGTTTAGGAGTACTTTCACCAGTGTCCTCCTTGTTTTCGCTACCATCATTCTGATCCTCATTTCGACAAGAAGAATCTCTGGGCAGTTCTTCCCTAGCCCTACGTTTCTTGTTGTGGGGAAGGTCATCTGGCTCAAACCCTTTGCTCTCTTCCACTCCTCTATGTTTTTCTGCTCCATCGTCCTCATCCTCCTTTCTCCCCTTTCCCTTTCCTTCGTCTTCGTCACTCCCAAAAGAATTACCCTCATGTATGTGTGGTGGTGGTGAAGCGGATGAGGCTGACGGCACAAATTGTGCTAGATAGATCTAGATGGGACGCCTGCATCGCGTCTTTACGCCGCACACATAGCTAGAGCTTGGATGGCGTTTCGGTTGGTGGCATGATGCAGCTGCTTCTTGCTCTTACGGTGCAGGCAACACAACATGACGAATGATCCACAACGAACGTTGCGCTGCGGTGCTGCGGTGCTGCCGTGCTGGCCGCTTTTGACCAATCAAACGCCACCACCCCAAAATGATATCCCGGTGCAGCCCGCAGGAAATCCTGGAACCACCACAAGCCCCGTCTAGCTACCCCCGTCTAGGCCCCCGTCAGCACAACCTCGCCGAACACTCATCCACAAGACACTCAGATCAAAAAGAGGTATGGATCAGCTGTATGGACCATATTCCTTGTTGCGCTTTTTTAATTGGGCAGCGGAGTAGAGGGTTGGCGCCAGGCACCAGGGGGGTTTCTTGAATCTCCTATTTTCGTCCTTCAAGCGGCAGAACAAAGGTACTTGTAGATCGTGATTTTCATCTACAACTGAAATCTCTGGGTTGCCGACACGGCCGTCGAGCACAACCCCGTCACGCGGTCGGGGGATGGATGCTCCAGTTTTGCACTCGCCGATGCCGTTCCATGGTTGTCGCATGGATTTGGAAGTTCCTGTGGTATATTGGAGTTGAAGTTGGGTCGAAGAATAATGTCGAACAGCTGTCATCCCTTCTCACCGCGACTTGTCCCCCAGTCTTTCTCGCTTCGCGGTCGACTGAACATGTGTCGTTGCTATTTTACTACCTCGGCAGCTGCGATGTTCCCGCTGTGGCAGCACGATGCTTTTTCGTGGCGCGAATCTCAGCACACCACCGTATTTACAGCCGTAGTAACACATGATGGCGCATGTTTACGCGCGAACACGCGTCATGTCCTCGCAAATGTGGGACCCACGGTCCTTTGACGACTGTCGTTCTTTTCCACGCACGCCAAGGCTGTGCTTGGCCAACGGCGAAATGGCAGAGGTCATTGATCAACTCTTATACAGAAACCGAGACGCAGTTGTTTTCCACCACAAGCGGGGAAAAAATACCATCTGGGGCAGCTGCTGTGGAACTTCAACATGCCCATGTGCCCATGAAATTTCGGCTGGAGGGAAAAGTAGTGTCTTTGGTTTCAACGACAAGCCTTCACTTCCGCCAAGGATCAACAGCACGGTTGAGCATTCCCGAAATTTGTAAACTTCGTCTCCATCCCGTGCTGTTGGTGTGTATTTGACCGGGTGCATGTGAAAGCGGCCAACAGGCTTAACAGCAGCGGTCTTCCGTCGTTATGAATGTTCACCCGCCCTCGCGCCCCCCTCAGCCTACCGTAGGAACATCCATACCATACTTACACACCAGGTATACGATCACTGGGAGGTAGACTACCCGTTCAACATGATACCCAAATCGAAGGCTTGTGTTAATACTCTTCAGAGCATTAAGAGTGTTGAAAATTCCTCCCCCTCGGCCGTCTCCTGCAATACACAACCCACCGCCGCTGTTCGTTGCCGTCCCAACGCGCCGGCTGGTACATCCGACTCCTCCGATGCAGAAACCTTCCCCAAGAGACGACAATGGCCGAACCGGAGAAAAAGGACACTGTCGAAGAGGCCGTCAAGGGAGAGGTGAGAGAAGAGCAAGAAGAAGTAGAAATACCATCATCGATTTAACTGCAGCGACGTAGACTCTGGCAGCACGGGTTGGAATGAAGCCTTCCTATGCTGAAGTAGGAACTATAGCTTGTGTGGAGGCTCCGTACCCGGGGTGAGACCCACGGTGTTGTCGTCCCGCAGTGAGTGGCCATACAGTGCGCCTACGACGCGTAGTCCGCGGTAAAAAAAAATAAGTTCGCCCTTGGTCCCAAGAAAGGGCGAATCTATACGGGTTTCGGTCTTCTCGCAGGGACACACCCACCATCGAAGATGACCTCCTAGCTTGCGTATACTTGACACTAGCTTGCGTTGCGGATACTACCGGAGGCAGGATATTCCAGCGGCACCAATTTTGGCAACGTCACTCGCCATGTAGTGATAGAAAAAGAAAGAGTCGGCTGTGAACGTGCGTCATTCTCGTCGGAGCTGGACTTCTCACCAGCTCCATTCACCTCCATACGGCCGACAAACAACGTCTCGCTGATGTGGAAGTGTTACTACACGCACGCCCTGTATTGTATCTGGGTGTGGTGGGCCAATGTTCTATGCTGTTGGGCGCGGTCGAATCATTGACGCGGGTCTTGGCTCACCCTGTAACCGTTTTCAGCCGGTTGGCCCGGTCGATCCAACTTGACACAACGTCCTCTTCCCTCTCGGCGGCACTGCTGTTGTCTCGAACGCGACCAACACGAGAAGAAGAAGGAGAAGAAGCACAAGGATAAGAAGGAGAAGGACGGCAGCCGCGGGCTGTTCACCGGGTCGGGCACGTCCTCGTCTTCCGAGTGCAGCTCGTCTTCCGACGAGGAGAGGTGGGCAGAGCGGGGGGTGTGATATGTCTTTTT